GAAATCGATGGAAATGGTAGGCAAAAAGTTTCAAGCACGGAGGGAATGTTAATTCTATCGCCCACTTAAATCTAGGGGCCGTATTTATACGGGCTATTCCTTACACAGCTCCTTTCCTTAGGAGACCCTATGTATTTACATTGTGGTTAACCCTTAGATGCCTAAATAGGGCTGAAACGCGAGGTTTGTTAAAAACAGGTGCCCCGCGGGTTGTTTTGAGTCGGTACATATCTACGAGTTTTGGATATAGAATACAAATACATCGTAAAAAAAGAACCAGACATCAAATTAAAACGAAAGAAAAAAAACTAAGGGTCACGGAATTTTTCTTTGACAACTTCCCCTAAACATCCCAAGCCGAGTCAAATTGACCCAACTTTCTCTTATGGGGGAGTCATGGGGCCGGTACATACATGAGCTTCAGGTCTATAGATCTACAAATGCATCTTAAAAAAATCAGATATCACATAAGAAAAAAAAATTGGAAAGAAATCAAAAGGCAACGGAGTTGAAGATTGAAAATACGCAACTAGGCCTGGTTCTTTAACTTTTCTACTGAATTTAAGCGACACCTCAATGACAGCATAGAGTGGAATATTGCGAGTTCACGCTTCGCGCCATCGCGCCTTCAATTTTACAGGTGCAACACGCACATCCATCGGGTACGAATAGTTGTATCTCTGCGCCGTCCACAACACGCTTCCTTTCCTTCGATTATTGTGTTTGTTTAGTTTGTCTTATTTGTAGTGGCGCCTCCAAGTTTACGTGAACAGCACAGCTAAGAACAGGAGAGACTGAATCGGGCCTCGTTTTTTTAACTTTTCTCTCGAATTGAAGAGTCGCTTTTACGAAAGAAAAGAAAATAATGATAATAATAAGAAAAATTGTTCTTAAAATTAAGAAATCCAAAGCAGCCATTTTAACGTTTTGATTGCCGGAAACTAAAGAAAATTTGTCCAGTTCGTTTTTCGAAGTATCTCGACAGTAAAAGAGCCTCATTATACACAAGTTGAAGAGTTGATATTAATGGTGATTACGGCTTAGAGATCGTTTAACCTTATACGATTGAAAATTAAAAATGAAATAATCTTAAAATTGAACTATTCATGCCAGAGAATAAAGAAGCGTTCTCAAAATATTGGAAGACAAATACATCTTAAAACATATTTTTTTGTGTGTGGAAATTTACAAATTACAATTTTGACAGCTAAATCATTATTTTAAAACCAGAAAAGTTCTAAATCCGCAAAAGTCATTTCCTACTCCACTTCGTCAAGGAAGGCGCTTGTTATACTTATTTGAGTTGACGATGTATAAACACAAAAAAAGGAAACAAATTAAAAAACAATGGTTCCACAGTAAAATGTTAAGGACAACAATCGCTTAATCCCATTTTAACCTTTAAAATACGGCAAAACCGTCGTTTTTGCGAACGGCAGGGTCTGTTCATACGCTTCCTGGGAGAGAACCTAATCCCAGCTCCGATATAAGCGAACAGAAGCCTGATTAGACTGATAACGAGATAAACAAGAGGCTAAAGACGGAGCGTAGATGTGCCTGACAAGGAGATTAATTATGAATTTCCTTTTCGAGTTAAAGTCGCGCAACACTCGTGTTTTCAAGATGTCGGAGCGAATACGCAGCCGATGAGAACGAATTAACCCACGCGGGGTTGCCGAATCTCTTCGGGGTTTTCCGCGGTGTTTTTATCACAGAAAAAAGGTGGCGATTTGCAGAGTGCCTAAACACTGGAAAGGATAAACATGTCGAAATATGGAGCTCTAATGCCCCCCCCCCCCAAAATTGGTCAATCTTTCCTCGAGAAAACACTGGAAAAATGTGGCTGCCAACCTTCGAATCCGAGTGTCGGACGTATTTCTGTTCAACGCTGTACAAATTCCCCTCTGAATTGCTCTTTTACCAGGAGAATCTTGGGCGCTTCTTACTGAAAACTTCCCAGATTTTTCTTCTGATCTCGTGGAAAATCAGAAACAAATTTGGGAACAAAAATTGAGCGAGTATATTCTATAAAAATTGAATGTTTGAATCAGTTGTGCAACCTTGGAATGACAGTTACGTTTCTTCGTTCGAGAGACGACGAATTACTGCACTTGAGTCTTTTTTAAAAAAATTTCAATGTAGACATGACTATAGTTTGTTTAGTATGTATAAAGTCGCTCCTACAACGCACTCTGACGCTCTGCGACACCCAAACGCCACATGTCGACGGTGAAAGTCGGCAATCACATAACTCGATTTGCGACGTCGCAGACTTCCTGTCATACTTCATTCTTTAAACGGAAAACTACTCAACGGTAATTCCTTAAAACTGCCGTGATTTTTTTTCTATGTGCGAGGAAAATTCTGCAAAAACTGCGAGGAATCATGTCCATTTGTTCTCCTTTAAAAAAATTACACAGTTACGAAGATTTTCAGACACCGCAAACGAGTTATGTGATTGCCGACTTGCACCGTCGATATGCCCATTTTTCCAGAGGTCATCGGGCGACTGACACCGCAACATCTCTTCGTCAACGACCTCCGCCATCCCTTTACGGGACGTCCCCGTCGCCTTTTTCCCAGGTTTTTTTTTTTTTTTTTTTTATTGTTTATTGTCGCAATAAATTACACAGTTATGAAATACACTTACAGTAAAAGTGCGTAATATATAGATATTAAAGAAAACAATAATGATTTGGACTATAATACAAATTAAGGGGAAAGTTTTGCTGAATAAATAAAATAGAATAAGAAATAAGTGGTAATGAAAATTACTGGAGTCAGCAAGGGTTATTGTTAGCGACGCCGGAATCCGCCAGTTGGCATGCATCAGCAAATATCTGTTTATCTATTATTTCTTTTTTGTTTGTGAGGACGGTTTTAATATATGTACAAATTTTGGACCAATTTTCCTTGGAATCTAATAAACATTTTTGAAAATTTACGGAGGTGAATGTCTTTTTAATTTCTGTCTCAAGAAGATCTCTCTCTGAATTAAATTTATTACACAAGAAAATAGAGTGCTCTGGAGTATCGAGAGCATCAGGGCAGTACGGGCAGAAGGGGGATGGCGATATTCTCATACGGTGAAGGTAGCTGTTGAAAGCGCCATGTCCAGTTAGAACCTGCGTTAGGAAGAAATTTAAGTCGTTTTTCCCAGGTAGTCCCCAATCTGAAACTTGTTTGGGCCATCTCTCCTCCGACATTATTTGCACATGTCCATACCAGCATAACTGCCTGAATAACTAGTTTGCTTTGTTCTGTCCATTTTTCATCCACCCCTCTTAGGATGCGTCTGAAATCTGGCTCCTGTCTTTCAAGAACTCGTCGACTTGTTTTGGGTGGAGGACATCCGGTGACAATGCGGGATGATCGGCGACGGAAATGAAGGCGATTCTGAAGCGTTGTCGATGTGATTGTCGGTGCGGGTGCGGGGGCGGGGGCGGGGCTGAGTCGTTTAAGCGGGCTCACTGATTCCGATTAATTGACGTTGGCAAGACGGGAGCAATTATGATCCAACGGCAATCCCTCCCCCCTCCCCTCACGCCGATGAGCGCTTGCCTCAGCTCCCACCAAAATCATACCAGCAATATTTGAGGTCTTCTTCAGCAGTTTTGAGAACGATTCGATAGTCGATGGATCGATCGATTGGTGATTTCTGAATTTTATGGAATTTCCCAGAGAAAGGAAAGGTTTTACTCCCCGTGGACCAGTTTGACCATGACCACACCATGTAATTATGAACTAATATTCCTGGCTAATAGTAGAGATTACTAAGAGTTGGCAATATTGCTTTTCCTCCATGTAAATGTATGTTAAACAATCGATTCTTGTTGCCTCACCTAAAATCGATATTCAATTCAAATAGGGATTCAAATTGAGGAAAATCAGTGTTGCCAACTATCAAAATCGCCACTGGAGATGACGTATGTGCTGATGATTCCCAAAAAGGATGAATGCTTCTACCTGTAAATGAGCATGAAATGGTAGTTCCTCACTACACAATGTAGTCTTAAAGTCAGGCGATTCGACGTCGAAAAAAACGAAAATTTTGAAAAGCGTTGCTTTCATGGGCCCGCTCAAACGTCGAACCTTTGAATTTCCTTGGAGATTGGCAGGGGATGATTTCCGAAATCGACTGGAACATTCCGTAACCCGAGGGTTAGCGCATAATTCGAACTCCTGTCTTCATAGGTGGTTCCCACGCGGCCGTAGCCGTAACTTCCATGAGATCATTAAAAAGTTTGTACTCTGGTGGGGGGAGGGGGGGGGGNCGGCGGGGGCTCAGCGGGTTAACGAGCAACCAGGAGTAACGATTGCGGTTTGCATCAGTAGTCAAAGTGCATTTCATGGCAGTAAAAGTGGCTCTCGAGGCTGGGTTGCCACACCTAGTCTTTAGAACTCGGAGGAAAAAAAAATATAACATACCAACGTTTCAAAACTTCCACTTTAAAATTATGATTTTTACTAGAACACTCTTGGACATTTTGGACTGAAAATTTTACTGATTTGTTCCGTAATTACACGGAAAATTAGCAACTTTTGGACAGAAATTACTAAGTTGTATTCCAATTTGTGTTAATTTCGCAACCTTGGAATGGAATTATGTCCTTCCGTTCGAGAGACGACGATCATTCCGTTAATGATCTATACATCCGAACTTATCATAGTAAAAAATACGAGGGAAAAACGTCGTAACACTGTTTGGAAGTTACCAAAAAGCCTTTAATTAAGGGCGAATATCCTAGGTGATTGGCGAATCCAGGATTTTTGCTGGTATCTCATCTTCTAAAATCCTTGCTCTTTCATTAGCTTTCTCCACTGTCACATCAACATCAACCAAGTAGGTAAGTCAACAGTAGAATGCTGAAGTTCCGAACGTAAAAGCTTCCACCATTGCAAGATACCAGTGGAGGGTCCCTCTTCTCTGATAAAATCTCACCTGTAAGATGAATTGAATACTATCCATGCCGTGAATTTTTAAGTGAGATGATTCTTACCTTGTAGACATCGAGCTGACCACAGAAGGCGTCAAATGTGTTGTAAAGGCTTTGGAGCATGTTGATGACCATGAAAGGCGTGGCCGTCGAACAAATTGAGGTGAAGCCCACAATATCACTGAACAGCATCGTCACATCGTCGTGCGTTTTTGCCTCTATGCTTTCACCTGCCGACAGAGAACATAGAACCAACATATAGCGATGAGGCGACGTTATCCTGAATTCAAAACTGAACCGGTACACAGTGGATCGAGTCAATAGGAGAAAATAGGTCGTCAAGTCAATAGGTCGGACAAAATTTGGAAACTTTAAAAGCTTATAACTCCGCTTATTCAAAACTTTGAGGTTCTAAAAGTGGTCTCATTGGTTTCCTCGTAGAATATTCTCCTAGAGGCACCTCTTAAAATTTAAAATGAGACGAAATAAACATAAAAATTTGCAGTTTAGGTCAAACATCTCTCCGACCTCACTTATTAATTGGCTCGATCCACTGTGCGGTAATCCGATAAAGGGTGAGCTCTCGACCCTCCCTCGGTGGTTGAGGCCGCGCAACATGGGTGGTAGCGTATTGTTGAGTCTGAAAAAACTGGAAGCGCGCCTTCAATTTTTCCGTTTGCAATACGGACAACTTTCAAACACGAATAATTGTATCACTTGAATCTAGGCGTTATCGTGAAACTCACCTTGAATTAATAGCACTGCCCGATCTAATTTTGCGCTCTACACGTGGGCAGTGTTTACCGGAGGGGAAACAAAATATATTTTCCAAAAAGTAAAGTCCAAAAAAGTGTTGAGTTCGTTTAGAAGCTTATTATCGTTGGCCAAAAGCAATCCAAATGAATTTAATATGCAACAAATAATCTGAGATTTGTATTATAATTGAGGAGAATTTATCTTTGTATCCCAAGCTCAAACTCAATATGTGAATTGCACTCAATTCAAATGATGTCTGAAGTGATGAGTGAAATTCATTTATAAATTAATTTCTTTAATTTTCCATCATATTCAGCAAGTAATATGTAGCATTTTGACATACGGAAACATTAATCATCCTCGATTTTGGCTCTTGCGAATTTCTCGTCACAATTAATTTTCCACAGAGAATTATTGAATTTAGTTTTCTTTGCCTGTACAGAATATTCGGTGAGTATTTTAACATTTTCATTCCTTCATTCTCAGCTAGTACCACGAAATTGTAGAGGACACTTTGAAACAGTGTAATTGAGATATGTTCTTCTTTATCAGCAGTTTCTCGAAAATTCCTTGAAATTTTCGAAGTAATACTTGCACTTTCGAATGATAAAAATGCTCATGTACATGCAGCATGTGAAACTTTGCAACATCGCACTGCAATAGGATTTCATTTGATCGACCACGCTCAATTCGAACGGAGTAGAGTACCTTTAGAGGGAGAGTATGGACGACTCGAAAATTTGGAGGTTAGGTTTGATCAGGTCATGTAGCTCTTAGGGCCCAAAAAGGCAGTCATGATAGGCAGTCAGGCAGTTATGATCTCAAATTATTTGTACTAATTCAAACTCCGATCGAGAGTAGTTACACTGATCAAAAATTATAAAAGAACGTATAAAACTTTGATTTCACCTACATTTTCTTAGTTTAAAATTTCTAATCCTCAAAAACGCTTGTTTACAATGCTATTGATTCATATTTAAAATGCAAAGGTTGGCAGTGGCACTTTTCGAGGGATTTTTGTTTTTTCACGTTGTCGCTCTTCCGGGCCCTGAGAGCTACATAAATCGAGTTGTCCATACTCTCCCTATAAAGGTACTCTAGGACGGAGTAATTCGAAAGAACCCGAGCACCGATGGGAATTCAAGAGTTGGCAACACTTGAAAGTCAGCGTGAAGCGGCAAGTAAACACTATTTAAAATGCAAGGACTCGATTATGCGATTCGGATCCACTCTCAGTTGAATCCGTCGTTGCTAAAACCTAACAATTTCATTATCTGACGATACCTCAGCTCCGTAAGAGTGCGTGTAGCTCACAGCTAATCAGATTAAGGACATGCTTGGTTTCAGCATCGCCGATTCAGTTTACTCAACAGATTATTCTCTTTCCACTGCAAGATCTGCCCTTAAAACCGGTGTCCGTCCTTATCACAGCACACTTAAAAATTCATTCGACTGAAAGACGACTTTACTAGAGGATCGCTTTTGGAGATTTGCTCACGTTGTACGCTCCTACAAAAAATACGAGTCATTGTCATCTTGTGGTTGCAAATGCAGCCAGTGATTATTGAAATTGATAGACAAAGGGGAAATGGAGTGAACCGGGTGGTTGTTATAGACTAAGAAGGGAAATGATGGACTGACTATTGATTGAATAAAAGGTCTCCCTCGTGGGTTCCTGTTAGTTCGTCTATTTGACAAAGAATGGAGGATCGTTTCAATAAAATTTTCCGGTCAGACGCCTCTGAGCCCGTTTTCTCAAAACTTCATCTTTGTTCTTACTGCTCTCCTCGCTATCGCGGCAGTATGGGATCCGGTGGCGTGCCGTGGTTTGCGATAAATCGATCGATCTACCATGTAAAGCAATGAAAAAATATCGATATTCATAGTATTCGCAATGAACACCCAAATAACAGGGTGTCTACGAAAACAGACTGACCAGAAATCAGAACTTACTCAGTACATTCCCAAGAAATTCAGTACCTCTTCAACAGAAAAATTCAGTACTTTTTCAGTACCTCCAATAATTGACGAAATTCGAGAAATTTCAATTTCTCGCTCAAATTGCGACAAAAATGACAAAAAACGGAAAAAAATCCGGATCTTTGGGCGGAGTTTCCGCACTTCATCAGTACTTCCGGACCGCCCTTAAAGAATCAGTGCTATTTCCGGACTTTCCGGAAATTCCGGACTTGTAGACACCCTGAAATTCTTTACGATAACTTCAAATGGGTAAAGATCGAGAATCGATCATTCACGCCCCGCCACAGATGGGATTAGAGTTTTCCGGAAAACAGATTTTCCCAATTGCGGCACAGCGCGGCATCTGGCGTTCTTGTCGTCGACGGTCGGGTGGGAGCGCGGCTGGAGGAATATCTGGCCGGGAGGAAAACAAACACAGGATCCTCGGGATCCGCTCAGCTTGAAAAATTTGAAACGGAGAGTGTCACATTTCCTATGCAAATCCGATGGACGCCTCCGCGAGTTCCTTCTCGTCCGTTCGCGTTTCCTCGTTCTATCCACGAATGGCGGGATCCTGCTTCCGGGCCAGGCTCCCATCATTCCATCCAACTTCCTCAAATCTTTTCTCTGACGTCAGCGGGCTGATTTTTTAAATCGAAACACAAAACTGTAGAAAAACAAAACGAAGGGAAAATAGAGCGATCCTGTCGGTGGAAGTTCGTAGTTGAAATGGATGAAGATGGTACGTGACGGCTAACTAAGGGCAACCGACGCACAGTGGATCGGGTCAATCAAAGAGGTCGGACATAAAATTTTTGACGAAAACTGAAAATTTTAATGTTTATTTCGTCACATTTTATATTTTGAGGGGTGCTTCTCATAGGTATCACAAGGAGACCAATGGAACCACTTCTAAAACCTCAAAATTTTGTGTAAACGGAGTTCTAAGCTTTTAAAGTTTCCAAATTTTGCCCGACCTCTCTCGTTGACTCGATCCACTGTGCGAACAGGGACCCTACGGTTGATCCATTATTTTCCTCCTCAGTCTGTAACAACCACAAAGAGAGAAATGTAAACACAAAAGTTTGGTTAATACGGGAAGTAAAATACAAAATAATCCTGGACTTCGGTCGAAGATTTCAAGAGAAACGCGGCTTATTGTTTTTTTGCTGAAAAATGGGAAAAAAAACGAGTGGTGAATACCTACGTCGCAATCGGAGGAATGCATTTTCCAGTTTATCCATTGTTTTCTGCGCTAAATTCGCCAGAAACTATACCCAAATCAACAAAAAAATTGTCTTGGTTTGTATTTCACCTCCAATGTTAATGAAAAGTAACACAAGAACACAAATATTTTTATCAGTGCACCTGTGCAACCTACAGGATCTCTCCATTATCCTTCTGTCTTGTCTGTCATAGATTTGTCTACCAACGTTAATAATCAGTCCGCAGAGTTATGATTCAAATCAATAAAATGTCCGTTTAAACGAAGCGATGCAGCGAACGGAATCGCTTGAATTGAGCGGAGTCGGTCAAACCCCTTCAAGTGGCCAGATAGGCAATCTCGCAGGCATAGGAGCACGAATAGTTATCTCCTGACGCCTGCTGGTTGAAATTTGGTGTTACCACGAGACAAGACAAGATGACGAGGAATGGAGTTATGTTTTAGACCGGTTTTGCGAGTCGTCTTCTTTTCAACTACATTTCAACGTTGCAAAATTTCTTCCCGGAAAACTTTCACCACGGAACCGTCGGGCGTTTCGGACGAGACAAATTTTTCCTCTGATTACTTGCAAGTATCTGCGAAATGTTGGATAGAAATTTGAAAGTATTATTCCCTTCAATATGAAATTAATTTGAGTCAACATTACGATTAAGTTAAGTTTCTCCGTTTAGGAAACAACAAATCGAGATACGCCTTTAAGTTCGGTTCGAGGAACCGAATGTCGTCGTTCAGAGGAAAAAGAATAGTTCTTTTATAGAGAAAGAGGGTAAGGAAACTGGATCCCATTGAGACAATTATTAGGAACAAAAAACATGGCGGCCATGGTGTGATGTCAAACTTTGACGACTGCATTTTGCAGTAAGGAAATAAAATTTTTGGACATACTCATTTGAAAAACAACGTATATGCCATTTGGTTTCAGACAGGTGCATGGATGAGCTAGAAGTAGGTTCACCATGTTACAAAATGCAGTACATATTAAACAGATTCTATCTTGGCAGAATGAGCAAGGAAACTGACTGGCTGATTAGTTGATGAATGGATAGAACGAATTTTTCCATGATCAAAATTTGGCTGCTTGGCAATTTAACGTTACATCGAAGAGGAGCTTCAAAATTCAAATAAAGTGCCGCAAAGTTTGGATGTAAGAATCAATCTTATACACCTAAAAAAAAAGGTCATCTCCATTTTCTTTCAGAGCACGTCATTTGGATAAACAGCTGAAAAAACCACGAAAAATAAACTACTCACGATCAGATCGAGCTAAATTCAAACTTTTCCCTCCCAGCTTTTTTCCACGCCGCGAAATAACTCACGCAAAACATTCAGTTTCGGTGTTGTGAGCGGCACTTTCAGTTGCTTCCGGGATTTGAGATTTAGCCCGCGGTTCTTTCCGGATTCCTGGTCATATTTCTACTGTTATTACGGAGGCATTTCCGCGCCAAAACTGAAGGAAAAAAGAGGAACAGGAGCCGAGATTCCAGCCCGTCAGGCAATATTTTACGATGAAATATCGGAGGAAAGGAGTCTGAGCTGTCGAACGTGTTCTCGCGAAAAGGGATGGACCGGAAAAAAACGTCTCTATCCCTGTTTCGCCGTTATTTCCGCCGCCTCGCATGACACTTCCGAGAATAATCGTTTGCGCTGTTCGTCGAGAAAGGTCGAAGGGAGGAATCGTGGTTTCGTGGAATTTATGGAAATGCGCGAAATCGTCAACCGACATTGCGGCTCGAAGCTTTTTTCTATTGTTGCCCCGATTTGCATACTGCCCTCCTTGTCGTCAGATCGAACGAGTACAGAGACAAAATATTTTAGAGACTCAGCACTCCCGGCAAAACAGAGGCAAATTCTGATAAAATTCGGTTCAGTTCCTCCGTTTCGAAGCGAGACAGCGCGATATCTACTTCACAGATTTGAAAAAAATACGGTTAAAGTTTGGCAATGCTGTTGCAAACTTGGGTAACAATTTAGCTTCAACGCTTTGAAATTTATTTAAATTACAAAAAATGACTTTACCAATGCAATGTTCCCAGGGGTATCAAAAAGACCGATGATCATCGTGCGTTAAATTTAGTGTGCATCTGAAATCTCCTGACAGAGGAAAAAAGCTCATCCGACTTCAGTTGGAAGGGTTTGATCGGCAATGGCCTAACTACACCAAAGGTTGCATAATTTTCTTTGGTACTTCATTCTTTATACGGATAACTGAAAGTAACATTGAAACTTCATATTTTTTGAGTATATTAAGCACAATCTAGTTTAAATTCATAGAAAGTTTCAAGGGGTCATATTATTTGGTTCTCTGTTAAGAAAGAATTATTCATGAAAATAAATCAGGCAACGTGAAATGTAGTTGAAAATGTAGTGTGTAGTGCGAAATGTAGGCGGATTTCGCGTAGATTCTTCCGACCTCCCCTCTCGAGGCAGGGGCGGATCCATCAATTTTGCAACACGGGATTTCCTACATTTAAACCTGTGTTAAATAATCGAGTCTTGTCGGAGCACCTGGCCCCTTCAAGAATCAATATATTTCCATAGGTTATATGGAGATAAAACAATATTGCCAATTTGCTGGATCCGCCAATGTTTTGAGGATTTGCTGTTTGGTGCAACCCTAGTTACTACCCATGAAGAAGGCAACTAAGAACACGTTTCGGATTTGATTTGTTCCATAATTGGCACAGTGCAGCCTTCTGATTTTCTGCTTCAAAACTCTGAGTGGTCTTGAAAAGCACGCCTGATCGGGTATGCGGCCGCGGCAGACTAACGAACTTACCGCCATCTAGTGAGCAATTATTGAAACAGCACCGCTGAGGCCCTGGCAAGGTAGTATTACTATGAACAGATTGTGGTTTAACGCAAAGGTTGTTTGGACATTAAGATAAACGTGCTAAGGAAAAACACCGTATGGACTTTAGGCAATTGCAAAATTTTCCCTGATAGTGTATTTATTTCGAAGAAAAGTTATGGATACTTGTGATCGTGGCAAATCGGCAAAATCACGCAAATAGCGTGAAACATGGCAGCTAGATGGGAGCTTGTTGTCATAAACCGAGATATAGGTTATTCTAGTTCAATCATCGAGAGGTTCTCTCTTGGAGTAACGATCCGGTGCTCACGCCAAATAACATCAAACAAAAACCAAAGGAGACTCACAGGATAAAAAATTTAAGGTTCTTAAACTTTAAATTGTAGCTCTTGGGGGCATTATCAAATAGAACACGTAATTCCTTCATTTCAAGTTAAGTCGCGCTCTCGGAGTATTTTCGATATATCGACGTCGTAAGTCCACAATCACGTATCTCATTTGTGGTGTTTGAAAATCTCCGCTCCTATTTTATTTTTTTAAAAGAGAACAAATGGACATCATTCCTTGAAGCTTTGGCAGAATTTTCTTGGCACCGAGAAGAAAAATCACGGCAGTTTTAAAGAATTGTCGTGGAGTAGTTTTCCGTTTAAAAAATAAAGTATGACATGAAGTCTTGCGACGTCGCAAATCGAGTTATGTGATTGCCGACTCACACCGTCGATATGCGTTTCACGCAGACCAGCGAGAAGCGCTCGCTCTGTGTTAGGTGCAATGCGGAAGTATCCATGCAGACTTGTAGGCGCTAACATGCTTTGCGCGCCGCGCCGTCACAAACCGAGACACGTGGTTGCGGACTTACACCGTCAAGATGTCTTCGATTGATCTTGTGAAAAAAACTGCGGACTTTGGTGCGAAACATGACAACATTGCACAGACTCGTAGCTGGTTTCAGTGTCGCGCCATGGCCAAACATTGCGATGATACGAAGCATAAACTTCGCCTCGAAACTTTAATCAAATTTGTTTACTTGATCGCGAACTTTTTGCGAGGACGGTTCCGGCAACCCGAGGTAGGAACTATTACATTTGCCGCAAACGCTTTCCTCGCAAATCGGATGGAATGATTTTCACGGAAAGAAAAATAAAGCTTACATTTTGTGCACCGATCTGTTTCTGTTCCTTCGTGATCGGATTCAACGTGGATCATCTTCTTGCCAAAAGTTTGGGAACAGCGGTTTTGAATTTGGCTCTTCCTTTGAATTTTGGGTTTTTGCGGTGTTGAGAGCAAGTGAGGGAACTTTTTTTTCTAAAGAGTTACCTACCCGTTACATTGCAATTAAGAATACGAGAACTTCACGCGGGTGCAGGTCTTGAAGTTCTTTCTCTCGCAGTTACATTTTGAAAAAATTGGCAACCTTTATGCAACTATTGGACAGCACAAAAAATAAATTAAACAAATTCTGTTTTAACATACGATCTTTAAGTTGCAAAAAAACGCCATTGTGTTAGGATGTGACTTCTTTTTTCCGGCAATGAAAGACCTGAAACTCAGATAGCTTATGCTTTCTGAGCAGGATTTTAAAATTTCATGAAAAAGAAAATCTTGAAATTTCACGTGAAATATTCCATGAAATTTCAGAAATTTATGAAAGGTATTGAAAAATACCGGTTCCTTTTCATGTTTCTCAAAATGTAAAAATTGTGACTTTCTTCTAGTTTTGTGTGTTTGAGTGCGGGGCGCATACTCAAACCCCTGAAAAATATGAAATATTTCACCGCCTCGTGAAATTTCATGAAATATTTCAATGAAATTTCCAATCTTTCGTTTCTTTCTTACGTTTCATGCGACCCTGTTTATGAGTGAGGAAACAGTTGTAAATCACAGAAAACAAGAACTCAAAAATTACATTAATGATACTCAGATAGCTTATGCTTTCTGAGCAGGATTTTAAAATTTTTAATTAATTATACTTCATTAAATATATTAAAATTAATTATACTTCACTATAACGGCACTATTGCAAATTTGATACCGATTACTCCACCAAAATTCCTTTCCACAGAGAAAAAATACCCCTGCTTCTTTCCTGTTTTATGTGTGTCGAGCAACCCACGCCCAGGCACGGTCTTCGATAGCGACACCGATACGATGTCCTTCGTGTGATACACAATTCAAAACCTAATTCTCAGTGCTTTTACGATCATAACTATAAACAAGTTTTCTCACAAGGAAAAAAATTCAGGAATAAAATATCAAGTGGTAAAGTGGACAAGATATCAACTCACCAAGCCATAATCTTTTTGCTATATCCGGAGGAAAAATCATATGCAGTAGAGCAACATTAGTTTCTCGTTCCTTGTCAACGGCTAAATTGGCTTCCTCTATCGAACTTTTTAGTTTGTCCATCCGCCTCCTCAGTCCATCCTATGAACACAAGACATAAAACAGACTTTTAAGGAAAATGCGATTATGAAAAAAGTTCGGAGAATTCCATGACAACAAGCGAAGAGGAAAAAAGACGTTCCAACGCAATTGCGTTGGAAAGCGCTTTTCTCATTGTCAGTGGCAGAAGGAGGTCATCTAGTTGTCCATACTTTTCCAGTCAAATAAAACATAAAAGAGAACCATAAAAAAAAAAAAAAATTCTGCTTGGCGAGGGATCGAACCTCGCGCCCAAAAGGAGAAGTGCTTTTGGTATTGGAAAAGCCATATGAATGACAGCTGTCAAAATTGTCGGACTGAAATATGTGTCCTCAACATTGTCGAGAACGTTATTTTTTTATGATGCCTACTTATGTAACAAAGCTAAAGAAAAGGGGCTAAAGCTTTAAAGAAAATGAGAATAATCACACAACTGCAAAATGAGTTGATGTATTATCAAGCATACGCAAAAACACCCGCTGATGAGTCTGCTGTACGCAAGAGATTTAGATGTGTGAATAGATTTTTGAGGGGCACAAAAATCACGTTGGTAACATTATAGAAGTCTGAAATCAACTCCTTAAGGTATCACAATTTGCGCAGTTTGGATCACGCTCCTTCAAATTGCGCGCGTCTGACTGCCTGATCAGTTTTCCGTCACCAAATCTAGAAGCAAGCAACGCTAATTCGTGGCAACTTTCCGGCAACTTTCGGTTGACGAAAACTGGCAATTCTAAACACAACATTTACAACATTATCTGCAAGTCAATGAAATAGAGGAGATGGTGTGTTTGGGTATGAACCACTATCAAAGATCACGTTTTACTTATAAGCAAAGCAAAGAATAACGAAAGCTATTTTTTTCACAGGAAAATGCCTGTATCTCTTCCAAACTTTCTCTGATTTTTTTTTGTAATCTTTAGGGAGAAAATTCCCAACAGTTCTCTCGTAAAACTTAATTTTCGAGTAAAAATCTTCGTCTGAGAAATAACTTCATGAACTGTTTGATGCGACTCGAACATTTTCGGCGCAACACTCCTCGAACATATTTCCCGTTTCCATCTCGCACGATTCCATTCGGATTTGAGGCTCTCATTCGGCGCACACCATTAGCTTGAGCTCTGATCGGGAATAATTTACGAGACGGCCTCAGAGGGGCACAATAGGGGGATCCAGCCCCGCGCACCCCCTACCCGCTGCTTAATAAAAGTGGGTTAAGTAATTTATGTAAAGGATCAGCTTGTTCCGGCTCTAGCGGCCCGCTGCCGCCATTCTCTTGTCAGTTTAATTAATCAAGGAAAATGAGGAGCACTCTTCCCTTATTTACTACACATTCCTCTCCGCAGGATTTCATATTTTCCTCAAGGATGACCTACAATCAACGCACGGTCGCCTTGGATCATCTCCCGGTCGCCATTGCCGAAAGGTCTCGTCAAATGGCTCCGAGCGGACTGATTCAGGGGCTGCATCTTTCTATGGAATCTCTTTTCGATGCCTTTACTATCAACAAATACACAAAGATGGCTCAAGTCGGAAATGCGGATGTCCAACGCAGCTTTTAAAAATATCCGATGATGTCTCATTTTTTAAAGCGAAATAACCCAAAATGTCTCCTTCAAATTTTCTGTAAACAGTTTAGGATGAATGAGGAAAATTCACAAACAATTTAAGGACAAATTGTTGGTCAGTTTTTCTTTTAAAAAATAAAACAGGGGCAGTGAATTGCAACGTCGCACAGGCGGAGACACGCATTTTTTTCCTACTTTCTTCGTCCATAAATTCATTGCATTTAAGTTGTTACCTGTTAGAGAAATGATAGATTTCGACCCTGTGCATGGATACCTAGTTATAACTTGGACCAGACTCTGACAAAATATAGAATGAATTAGGGAATTCAATTATTTGGAGGGAGGAGACGACTAGAAATCGTTATGTCTCGCCTAATGACGTTACTTACGAGCATGTTGTAGCCAAATGCCGCTAAAAATCCTATTATGAAATACGAATTTTATGGGTTCGTATTCATTACTCTTCACTTTTTCAGAGACTTTATCTTGCAATTAGTGCTAAAATATCTGACAATTTCAGGGAAAAATATCACAACTTTCTTGGAATAATGATTTATCGGTAAAACAAAATCGGTATATCAGTGTTCGAATGCTCACAACTTGTTTTTTATGAGCACGGTAGAATGACGTCCTTTTTTTTTTGAGAGTTGAATGGTTTATTTTAAGAATGTTCTCCGTTAAAGCTGAATTTATAGTACATATAGGTTCGTACATATACATCGTCACCACTCAGAAGTACGACCAATTTAAAGTTTGTGCTTAGGGTTAATTCGAGAAAATTGAATCGACAAGAGGTTGGTTTACAACGTAAGGGTAGAATAAATACATTTTAAAGTTAGGTAACTCAAAAATACGACAGAAATTACTTCTTCCACCGAAGCCTTGCTGATCCATGATATTTTTTCGGCCAATGTTTGACTTCATTTTTAGGCTAACTTTAAAATGTAATCGTACACTCTTAAAGCATTGACATACGTCCTTTCGATCCGATTTTTGTTTTAAAATAAACCCAGTATAAAACTTCTAATGTGTCATAAATCGAAGTGGTATCCGCACACATCAATTTAAACCTTGGATTCACCTAAAATGGGCTCACTCATAATTTAAATCAAGTGTTTGACGACCATTAGTCTAATTACACTCTTTCTACGATTGAATCAAACTTGCTCGTACTTCATCAAAATGTGCACACCTAAGACCCGACTCATCGTGGAAAGGTGTGTTGCATTAGCATTGGCGCGCATACAAGGTAGCAGGAGAAATATGATGAAGTTATTTACTGCTGAGCCATTTTTAATTCTTTTAAGCCCGGGAGAGTCCAGGGATGAAAGGGGGGGGGGGGGCAAGGGCCTTTTTACAGGGTCAGGGAGCTGGGAGCTAAAACGCACGCTGCTCTCTTGGAACTGCCTCGCCCAATTAGTAGCTTGTGCCACTAATTATTTTTGAGGGATTAAAGACCTTCCCTCGTGGGCCCTGAATGGGGCTCCTTTCGTCGACGCGCGTTCCCATCGCACTTGCCGTTTTTCATCATCTTCCAGGTGCAAAGATGTGAGTTCATTTTGACGTGAGCTCCGAAACGCGTTGAGTTACACGAATGTCGGAGCTCATCTCGAAAGTGCAGTTATGCCCTTTGGACGGAGGGGCGACGTTTTGTCCGCTCGTCTCGCGTCTACATCCCAGTTGACAGTGATTTACCCTCGTCGCGATCAAAAGAGACTCCGCATTAGTTCATAATGAGTAGAATTCAGACTCGGCGAGATTTTCTGCGCAAAGAAAATTCAAATTAGGAAGCGAATACGAATCATGCCCGGTGAAGACGAACCGTTCCATATGAGCCATTGCCAAAATTCTGCTCATATCTTAGCTGTTACTTGGGCGAACAGAGTGACTGAATCTCTATCAGTCTGCATCAATTTTTGAAATTGTGGGCAATTTCAAATATAAACATTCAATTTTTGGGGGTTATTTTTTTTTCGCAAATCCCGTCTATTAAAAGCCAATTTCTGGACCAAAAATTTCTGAAAAAAGTTCAAAATTATGATTAATTCATGATGATTAGAATTAATTTAGAAAATCGTCTGCAAAAAAGAAATTCTAGTTTAGACGTAGATACGGATTATATCGTAAAAAAATGAATCATCCCCTATTAAATGTTGCCAAATTTCCTCTCATATTTCACTTCTACCAGGGACGTCATGAGAGCTAAATTTTGGGAGAGGATGCATTTCCTACACGTAGGAGAAAGCGCAAAATTTCATCAAATCCATTGAAATTGACCGCAACGGACTAGATTCACATTACACCGAATCTGGAAGATGTGATTACCCCTCCCACTCTATGTCCTCTCTCGTTTTTAAAATACCTACCAACTTGATTTTTGACATTTGCCCTTCTTGACCACCAAATGTTGCAAAAAAGGGAACCACATGAAACTGATAGATTATCCTTAAGCTGAGTTATACTTGACTTTGAAGAAACTTCGGTATTCCTGATGAATTGCTTTGTCTGTTTGTGTGGGTGTGTGTTTATGTGCAAAATTCAAACATGTCAAAGTTGAACCACGTGAGTACACTACTTGAAACCCACAGAGAACGATCAGACGAGAGTACCTGGTGAGAAAAATCCTCTTACAATTTATTTTCCTGTCGAATAAATTTTGCAAAAGCTTATATTGGATCGTAAATGAACCTCTTTGTCAAAGTGTCTCTCAACAAATCGAAATTAAACACTCTACCCACACGAGGAGCCTCGAGGATGACCGAGATTTCTACAAAGAGCCTCAGCTTCAAGAACTTTTAAGCCGTACTTCCTCTCGTTTATAACGATCTCCAGAGATCACGAAGTTTCGCGATTAGGTCTATTCGAAAAAAAGAGAATCGTTGTTTAAGACGGTTCGTCGTGCGAAACTTGGCAAGTGCCTCGCGAAGCCCACGTGGTTGGGACGTCAGTCTGTCAATCGGCGTTGGGACTCATTTTTCACGGCGGCCATTGAGCGTCGGAAGTGGGCTTTCGCTGTTTTTATTTTAACTCGCGACGTGAGCGTTTACGGACAGGGCTCGATTCATTGAGGCCATTGACAACCGCGACGCGAAGGGACGAGCAAACCGCCAGGCTGGACAATACCTTTTTGGGTTTGATTGCGTGAAAGCCCTTTATAACTCGAGTGATCCCCTCACGTGAGCCATGCAGGGTTTTGATTCTACACACTGGAAAAAAAGTTCGATCGTATGGAGCCGTCAAGTATTACGTAACGCACTTTTTCCGATTTTTGACCCCCCTCCCTTTCCCCTTGTCGGTAATCCAGGATTGCGCGAAAGGTCTGAGAATATATGTGAGGATTGCCTGAAGAAAGCACAAGGATTGCGCGAATAGAAACCTCAACATCTGCTACAGGAATGCGCGAATGAGAATGAAGTGAATTTAAAATAGAAGTTT